AAATTCCTCGTTGTTATTTCACACTCTACAGAGCACATTTTCCCATTATGTTTCGATATATCTATCTATATTATCTCAAAGCATATAGGAATGTGTCCTAGTTAAGAAGAATTATTTAACAGCTTTTAAAATCTGGTTTTAAGAACACCTTTAACGTTAAGTGCCGGCAGACTGTCCCCATAAAAATAAATGCACTGCGAAAAAAAAATTAGTTGCACTCGAAGAATTTGACTAAAGTACCGTGGTCGGTATCCGCGATCAAAGGATACCGTCTCCGGCATACCTCGGAGCGGTGTAGACAAATAAATTAGGTTTTCAAATAAAACTGCCTTTTGGGACTCTCCTTAAGATAACTCTCTCACGTGATTCTCGAAGGGATTTTAAGATTAAGTAAAGACCTTTTTGCATGGTGTAACAATCATTAAAAAACAATAGTATTTGATTGTAGCCTAATATGGAAATGCAAGGCTAAACAATGCCAACGATCCTAATGATGATCATTAGTTGGTGTTTTTAATTAGAGTTTACTTGTGCAAAATTTTCATTCAAGAATCCCTCTCCATATTTCCGTGAGAAAGAGTACCTATCTTGCCAAATATGAAGTTGTATTTTAAATTTTGAGAAACGTTTTTGATTGGGACATTCATATTGTTTTTTATTCCAGGCTCTTGATTTCGACAACTCCAAGAGCCGGGAATAAAGAAAAACTGAGCTAGGAAAATTGAGATATTATAGGCCATTTTGTAACCTATTTAATCCTCTATCAAATGAAACATGATTCATTGAAATCGGTCCAGAGATTTCAGAGTTATAGTCCATTTAGGGCCAATATTATAAAGCCTGGTTGAGTTTGAACCAGCGGTCGAACTGACATTTCCGTACGATTTTATACGGAAATTTCAGTAAAACTGTTGGTTGAAATTCAACCTTCGGTCAACCGGACTTCATAATACCGACCCTAATAAGCTGGAAAATGTCCCCATACAATTTTGTAATTTTTCGGGTTTAGGAGGTTTCAAATGCCAAGAGACATTTTCTGTAACTAGTGAAAAATGACGACACGAAATCAATGAAAATTAGCTTGCAAAATCTAAATTAAACAAAAATGCATTTTCATACATTTAATTTTTCTCTCGTACACAGATATCGTCTAATGCGTTACTGAGTCCATGTCGAAACTGATCGATCAAGCGGTGAAAAGTTTCAGATGCATTTTGCAGTCCAAACGGCATCGTGTTAAAACGATAACTTCCGAAAGGAGTAATAAAAGCTGTTTTATCAGGTTCATGAACACTTATTTGGTGATCCAAACACGTCATGTGAAAAGTTTTTTTATTCGAGTGAAGAAGATCATCCACGCGGTAGCGGGTATTTGTCACTGACTATAATTGCATTGCACGCATATTTTTACTAGCTGAACCTTTGGATACCATAACCACCGGGGCTACCCATGGGTTCTCGCATTCTCCAATTATATGATCCTCCAAAAGGCAAAAGTTTGTCATTTTCAGTTTTCAGTAATTGCTTACATGCAGGGTACGGTGGAAGAGCTATAGGCGGATGATTTATATAATGAACTTCATATAGGGAGTAGGGTCTCCCTCCGGCTTGAAGATATCCTCATTTTCTTTGATTAAAGCCCTTAAGAAAAAGTGTACCATACGCTCTGCTTGTTTATGCATTGTACCTTCATTTTCTCGCAAACTTTCAAAACTAGACAATTCTACTCGATCGACTTTCAAAATCTAATACATATTCAACTTCTGGGTAAACATTAAATTTCCACAAAGCATCAATAATGTTCAATGTTACTTTTGCATCTTGCAAAAAATCTATACCTAATAAGGTAGTTGGTGCTTCTGGCAATACGATGAAAGTAGTCGGGATAAGACGTTGTTCTACAATGACGTTTACCCATGTTACAAGTTTCGCACTACCATCAGCTATTTTCACCAGAATTGTTAGTTTGTTGAACTTTTGACCATGATTTTCATGTAATTGATAGAGTTGTTTGCTGACTTCACTCTGTTTTGCGGCGGTGTCAATGATGGCTTTACCACGTTGCCCAAGTATGCTTATCCCAAGCAACGGGAACAGTTCACCTTATCATGCACCTTTTTTTTTCTAATTTTCGAATATAACAGACCATAAATCATGTCTAATTGAATTTTTGCAGGTAGAGTATTATCTGGTAATTGTGTAAGTATAGAACGACACTTGCAAATAGACATATCTGTCTTTGGTTTTAGAATCTTGAAGGTACATTCGCATCTTGCCACGAATTAATAGTGGATTTTACGCCTACAAACCAACTAGCAGCGAATCCATCCAACAACATAGGAAGTCCCTTGAGCATCATTTTTTTTGGAAATCTGGAGAAACCAAATATTTTTTCATTTATCAAGGAAGCTTTCAGCTTCAACATACTAAAATTTTATGGAAAAATAGCCCAGGATAATAGAGCTACGATTTTTACAATCCGATTAACACACTGAGTGATATTTCTGCCTTGGAGTCAATAGGCTAATTTTTGTTTTTTGGCAATCTGGAAAATCTGGAGAAACCAAATATTTTTCCAGTCATTAAGGAAGCTTTCAGCTTCAACATACTAAAATTCTATGGAAAAATAGCCCCGGATAATGAAGCTATGATTTTTACAATCTGATGAACACACTGAGTGATATTTCTGCCTTAGAGTTGATGGTCTAATTTTTGATTTTTTTTTTCTGGAAATCTGGGAAACTTGGAGGAACCAAGTATTTTTTTATTTATTAAGCAAGCTTTCAGTTTGAACCTACTGCAATTTTATAGAAAAATAGAATAGATCAGGATAACGGAGCTATGATTTTTACAATCCTATAAACACACTGAGTGATATTTCTAACAAAAATAACACTGAGAGTTTTTGCCTTATAGCTCCGTTAATTTTCATCCAATTTTAACGTGATTAGGTTCTAATTAAAGCCAAATAAATTCTCTACAAACCTGTTAATTCCGAGCTTAAATTTGATTTCAACTGAGTCCTTATTCTTAAAACAGAAGAGCAGCGTTCCCAGGAGAACGAGTGTTCCGTCTTTGTTACTTATAGGTATTATTTGCATATGATCGAGAAAGATGGAACACTCGTTCTCCTGGGAATGCTGCTTCCTGTTTCAAGAATAAGGACCCTGGTATAATGCCTTCCAAGCCCGGAAAAAATTAAAATAGAAAATCAATAGGGAGCTACTGCTTTTCCAGCCGACTGACATAGTCTCATTAAATTAGCCATAACTCTGGAATGCCTGGACCGATTCCAATGAATCATTTCTTATTTGATAAAGGATTAAATTGTGTACAAAGCGATTATATTAAAAATTTCAATAACTGTCTCCTTTTTGCGTTATCAATGCTCAAATTCCATTTAAATTTTGACAAGTATTACACTCAAATTTATTTTTTTTTGCAAATAAAGCCCTAACTGTAATTTTCCATGACGACTTCTTTGAACACCATCTTGATGCAATTCTTTTTACCGAAAAACTACCCTCAACCTACCTGCTTCATACCTACCCCCTGAGGGGTTTTTATAACGACTATTAGTACCAGGTATTGCACTTAGTGGGAGATAACTAAGTGTAAAAGGTGTCACATTTAACTTGAAATATTTAGGGTCAAGCCCAGCAAAAACACCCACAAATATTCTCAAATCACGACTCTCTAATTAAACATTAAGCAAATTTCACTCCGAATCTCGGAAATCCAGAACAAAAAATCTCGAGCACGAACTAGAGGCCTTATACGTAGCATCATCAGTTGGTAGAGACATCCACTTACCTTTAACCTTCGAAGACGATCTTCTTTTTGTTTGGCCTACTTTAAGCCAATTTCCTTATTAAATTTATAAAATAGAGCTGTGTCCGATATACATCTGCCGACCCGGTTTTTTGAGAGATGCACACACACAATTTCCTTATTTGTTTATTATATTCTCTTCGGCTTTCGAAGCCCCAGATAATTTTAAAACAATGAAATTGTTGCTAAGTATTCGATAATCTTCCTTTGTTGCTGTCGGCGGTACCATGTTGGGCGCGCGAGTGCAACTTATCTTATTCTGAAATTCTTTGAAATATCGCACGATGAACCATCTGCCTGAGTTTTTTTTTTTTTAAGTGGTTTCTCATATCTCTATGTATTTGCTTAACTTTTACAGTTCCTTAAGTAGCCAATAACCGTTACTTTTGAGTGCGTTTTATGAGAGCGTGTGATTATGAAGAATGTTTTTCTTGCTGGTATTTTGGTATAAGCAGAATTTGAGTATTGCACCCAATGAATCTGTAGTAGAAGATGGAGCTGTACTTCAAACCAGTGTAGATGAGTTATTGGTGAACCAAGATTCAAATTTTTAAACAGAATCCTTTATCAAAGTATGCTATAAATACAGTAGAATATAGGTATCATTATTCTAAAATACAAGATAGTAAATTGCAACATTCATTCATTGGTTGTTAAAGCAGGATGAAGATTTTAAAAGGATCGTTGTCTATGGCCGAAAGGTTATTTACCTTGCATTCTTCAAAATCTACCTGGGCCCCATTGTGAGAAACTAATGATGTCCAAAGCTGTTGGCTTAAAACAACACTCGAAAAGGGCTGGGCCCCCGTTAAAAAAAGTCAAAATTTGAATATGAATAGAAGAAGAAGAAGAGTCAAAGTCATAAATAATTAAAAATAATCGTGCAATAGCTGCTACATTGTTAAGTCATGCGTTTCATAGTTGGCAACCGTGCTACTAATAAAATTCCTTCTGATTCAGACGATAATAAATGAATTTTCCGCTACTGAATTCATTTTAAAAGTCACGTTTTTAATTCCAGCCCTTTCAATACAGTTTTCCATCCCTTGTATTGTAATCTTGGAGCCTTATTTCATGCTTAATTATTGGTGTTAATACAAATAAATTCCAGCAGCCCCCGCATTTGAAGAAAAACAAGTTTATATACCACACATGTTCAAGCAAGTTACCTTTAATTGCAATATTATCCGTCACATGTTTGAGAATATTCCTTTATGGTACCACTTTTGGGTTCACTATTCACTGTATGCACTTATCACCAACCAAAGAAAAATTCATGGGGTACTAATTCCGGAACGGCTTCGACGAATCCGCGTAGAGCCAGCTACCAAAGAGACCGAGGGCACCAGGTTGCGTTGACCTTGAGAAACGTACGTCTTCGAAGCGCCTTGCAGTTGTGTTGTTGTTGGTACCGGCGCAAAATGACGACTGGACGGTCGGTTGGAAGAAAGAACCAGCGAAGGTACCAAGGAATTCTTCGGCAAAACGATGTAGATTGTCCGCATCAATGGATTTTGTTAAATAGTACTGAGAAAGTACTTCGGCCAGATGTCAGCTTTAACCATCCCCACAATAAAACCCCTCAATATTATGTGAAAATATCTTGTTTGGCTTTTAAATAAATTGAGGGACAGACATTAGTAATTATAAACTGTACTATATGATGCAAATTGCTTGACGCGATTTTGTTTTTGGAACTGTGAGTCCAAATGAGCTGAAATTTTCAGGGATTGTAGTCCTTTGAAAAAGATAGAATTCAGTGAAAGATTCAGCTTTCTATCTAAAATAGAAAAAAAGTTATGACCTTTCAAAGTTTTCCAAAAAAATCATAAGGGGGGTACCTTCTTACTAAAACGATGAAATTTCAAATTTTTTTTTGTCGAGATTTTGTATCCTAATGGTCAATCAATATACCCCAAACTCCATACACAAAATTATTCCTAGATTTGAAGCCGAAATCTATGAAAAAAGGCACTCAGAAAAACTGGAAAGTTGATAAATCACCCCAAATTGCTTAACACGGTTTTATCTCAGGAACCATAAGTGCAAATGAGTTGAATTTTTCAGGGATTGTAGTCCTTTGAAAAAGATAAAATTCAGTGAAAGATTCATCTTTCTATCTATAATAGAAAAAAAGTTATGACCTTTCAAAGTTTTCCAAAAAAATCATAAGGGGGGTACCTTCTTACTAAAACGATGAAATTTCAAATTTTTTTTTGTCGAGATTTTGTATCCTAATGATCAATCAATATACCCCAAACTCCCCACACAAAATTATTCTCAGATTTGAAGCCGAAATCTATGAAAAAAGGCACTCAGAAAAACTGGAAAGTTGATAAATCACCCCAAATTGCTTAACACGGTTTTATCTCAGGAACCATAAGTGCAAATGAGTTGAATTTTTCAGGGATTGTAGTCCTTTGAAAAAGATAAAATTCCGTGAAAGATTCATCTTTCTATCTATAATAGAAAAAAAGTTATGACCTTTCAAAGTTTTCCAAAAAAATCATAAGGGGGGTACCTTCTTACTAAAACGATGAAATTTCAAATTTTTTTTTGTCGAGATTTTGTATCCTAATGGTCAATCAATATACCCCAAACTCCCCACACAAAATTATTCTCAGATTTGAAGCCGAAATCTATGAAAAAAGGCACTCAGAAAAACTGGAAAGTTGATAAATCACCCCAAATTGCTTAACACGGTTTTATCTCAGGAACCATAAGTGCAAATGAGTTGAATTTTTCAGGGATTGTAGTCCTTTGAAAAAGATAAAATTCAGTGAAAGATTCATCTTTCTATCTATAATAGAAAAAAAGTTATGACCTTTCAAAGTTTTCCAAAAAAATCATAAGGGGGGTACCTTCTTACTAAAACGATGAAATTTCAAATTTTTTTTTGTCGAGATTTTGTATCCTAATGATCAATCAATATACCCCAAACTCCCCACACAAAATTATTCTCAGATTTGAAGCCGAAATCTATGAAAAAAGGCACTCAGAAAAACTGGAAAGTTGATAAATCACCCCAAATTGCTTAACACGGTTTTATCTCAGGAACCATAAGTGCAAATGAGTTGAATTTTTCAGGGATTGTAGTCCTTTGAAAAAGATAAAATTCCGTGAAAGATTCATCTTTCTATCTATAATAGAAAAAAAGTTATGACCTTTCAAAGTTTTCCAAAAAAATCATAAGGGGGGTACCTTCTTACTAAAACGATGAAATTTCAAATTTTTTTTTGTCGAGATTTTGTATCCTAATGATCAATCAATATACCCCAAACTCCCCACACAAAATTATTCTCAGATTTGAAGCCGAAATCTATGAAAAAAGGCACTCAGAAAAACTGGAAAGTTGATAAATCACCCCAAATTGCTTAACACGGTTTTATCTCAGGAACCATAAGTGCAAATGAGTTGAATTTTTCAGGGATTGTAGTCCTTTGAAAAAGATAAAATTCCGTGAAAGATTCATCTTTCTATCTATAATAGAAAAAAAGTTATGACCTTTCAAAGTTTTCCAAAAAAATCATAAGGGGGGTACCTTCTTACTAAAACGATGAAATTTCAAATTTTTTTTTGTCGAGATTTTGTATCCTAATGATCAATCAATATACCCCAAACTCCCCACACAAAATTATTCTCAGATTTGAAGCCGAAATCTATGAAAAAAGGCACTCAGAAAAACTGGAAAGTTGATAAATCACCCCAAATTGCTTAACACGGTTTTATCTCAGGAACCATAAGTGCAAATGAGTTGAATTTTTCAGGGATTGTAGTCCTTTGAAAAAGATAAAATTCAGTGAAAGATTCATCTTTCTATCTATAATAGAAAAAAAGTTATGACCTTTCAAAGTTTTCCAAAAAAATCATAAGGGGGGTACCTTCTTACTAAAACGATGAAATTTCAAATTTTTTTTTGTCGAGATTTTGTATCCTAATGATCAATCAATATACCCCAAACTCCCCACACAAAATTATTCTCAGATTTGAAGCCGAAATCTATGAAAAAAGGCACTCAGAAAAACTGGAAAGTTGATAAATCACCCCAAATTGCTTAACACGGTTTTATCTCAGGAACCATAAGTGCAAATGAGTTGAATTTTTCAGGGATTGTAGTCCTTTGAAAAAGATAAAATTCCGTGAAAGATTCATCTTTCTATCTATAATAGAAAAAAAGTTATGACCTTTCAAAGTTTTCCAAAAAAATCATAAGGGGGGTACCTTCTTACTAAAACGATGAAATTTCAAATTTTTTTTTGTCGAGATTTTGTATCCTAATGATCAATCAATATACCCCAAACTCCCCACACAAAATTATTCTCAGATTTGAAGCCGAAATCTATGAAAAAAGGCACTCAGAAAAACTGGAAAGTTGATAAATCACCCCAAATTGCTTAACACGGTTTTATCTCAGGAACCATAAGTGCAAATGAGTTGAATTTTTCAGGGATTGTAGTCCTTTGAAAAAGATAAAATTCAGTGAAAGATTCATCTTTCTATCTATAATAGAAAAAAAGTTATGACCTTTCAAAGTTTTCCAAAAAAATCATAAGGGGGGTACCTTCTTACTAAAACGATGAAATTTCAAATTTTTTTTTGTCGAGATTTTGTATCCTAATGATCAATCAATATACCCCAAACTCCCCACACAAAATTATTCTCAGATTTGAAGCCGAAATCTATGAAAAAAGGCACTCAGAAAAACTGGAAAGTTGATAAATCACCCCAAATTGCTTAACACGGTTTTATCTCAGGAACCATACGTGCAAATGAGCTGAAATTTTCAGGGATTATAGTCCTTTGAAAAAGATAAAATTCAGTGAAAGATTCAGCTTTCTATCTGTAACAGAAAAAAAGTTATGACCTTTCAAAGTTTTCCAAAAAAATCATAAGGGGGGTACCTTCTTACTAAAACGATGAAATTTCAAATTTTTTTTTGTCGAGATTTTGTATCCTAATGATCAATCAATATACCCCAAACTCCCCACACAAAATTATTCTCAGATTTGAAGCCGAAATCTATGAAAAAAGGCACTCAGAAAAACTGGAAAGTTGATAAATCACCCCAAATTGCTTAACACGGTTTTATCTCAGGAACCATAAGTGCAAATGAGTTGAATTTTTCAGGGATTGTAGTCCTTTGAAAAAGATAAAATTCCGTGAAAGATTCATCTTTCTATCTATAATAGAAAAAAAGTTATGACCTTTCAAAGTTTTCCAAAAAAATCATAAGGGGGGTACCTTCTTACTAAAACGATGAAATTTCAAATTTTTTTTTGTCGAGATTTTGTATCCTAATGATCAATCAATATACCCCAAACTCCCCACACAAAATTATTCTCAGATTTGAAGCCGAAATCTATGAAAAAAGGCACTCAGAAAAACTGGAAAGTTGATAAATCACCCCAAATTGCTTAACACGGTTTTATCTCAGGAACCATAAGTGCAAATGAGTTGAATTTTTCAGGGATTGTAGTCCTTTGAAAAAGATAAAATTCCGTGAAAGATTCATCTTTCTATCTATAATAGAAAAAAAGTTATGACCTTTCAAAGTTTTCCAAAAAAATCATAAGGGGGGTACCTTCTTACTAAAACGATGAAATTTCAAATTTTTTTTTGTCGAGATTTTGTATCCTAATGGTCAATCAATATACCCCAAACTCCCCACACAAAATTATTCTCAGATTTGAAGCCGAAATCTATGAAAAAAGGCACTCAGAAAAACTGGAAAGTTGATAAATCACCCCAAATTGCTTAACACGGTTTTATCTCAGGAACCATACGTGCAAATGAGCTGAAATTTTCGGGGATTATAGTCCTTTGAAAAAGATAAAATTCAGTGAAAGATTCAGCTTTCTATCTGTAACAGAAAAAAAGTTATGACCTTTCAAAGTTTTCCAAAAAAATCATAAGGGGGGTACCTTCTTACTAAAACGATGAAATTTCAAATTTTTTTTTGTCGAGATTTTGTATCCTAATGATCAATCAATATACCCCAAACTCCCCACACAAAATTATTCTCAGATTTGAAGCCGAAATCTATGAAAAAAGGCACTCAGAAAAACTGGAAAGTTGATAAATCACCCCAAATTGCTTAACACGGTTTTATCTCAGGAACCATAAGTGCAAATGAGTTGAATTTTTCAGGGATTGTAGTCCTTTGAAAAAGATAAAATTCCGTGAAAGATTCATCTTTCTATCTATAATAGAAAAAAAGTTATGACCTTTCAAAGTTTTCCAAAAAAATCATAAGGGGGGTACCTTCTTACTAAAACGATGAAATTTCAAATTTTTTTTTGTCGAGATTTTGTATCCTAATGATCAATCAATATACCCCAAACTCCCCACACAAAATTATTCTCAGATTTGAAGCCGAAATCTATGAAAAAAGGCACTCAGAAAAACTGGAAAGTTGA